TTATGCTTCAATTTTGTTAATGAACTTTAATGTCAAAACATCATGTCAAAAATCCTGATTGATAAAGAAACAGTAATGCGACATACGTTTTCGTAATCAAAGCAATCTTCGATTGGTTTTTTTTTTGAAGACCCAATATTTTTGTATAAGGAAACGCTTCCTTCAAATTCTTTCCCTTAATAAATAATATGTTGAGCTGAGCTGCCTCAAACTCGTTATGCTTTCGCCTTTGATGAGACTTCGAGCAGAATTGTTTTAGGAGAACACATTCTACTTGTAGATGATCCGTAAGATCAATCCGGTATAATTTATGAAGTTTTATGGCGTAAACTCGAATTTTCGCTTCAGACATTGCATGTGATTTGCATAGAAAGAAAGAATGCAAGATTGGCGATTACTACTGCGTGATACGAAGTTTTGCGCCGCCTAAACTCTGCCAAATATTGGTCGGATTATGGAAGAAAAGTACCTCATAATTCTGAAACATCCAACACCTAACAACACTTTTTCTTTGGAGAAACGCGGAATCACGACGGATGGGTGTTAATATCTGATGTTGACGGATGAGCCCATCGATATCGGCTGGCCGGAAACACGATCGGGTGATCGGACGGTCGCCGAATTGCCCCATTTCTTGTAATGTTATTAACCAAATAATAAGTTTCAGCTTTGTTTTTGTTGCTTCGTTACTTCGTTGTTAATTTGATAACATTGTTAAGCGCTGGGGTCGCGGCTTGTGCCGCCCCTTGCAGCCTTACCGCCCCGGGCGCATGGAGGTAAGTAACACCCATTTGGCTCACGTTCGCAAATTTGAATGTAACACCCGATATCGGGGTTGTTTAACAGTAATGCCTTTATTTGATACAAAGTATAGATATAATATTATTAGTTGTTTATGTTTCAAACTTTTTGTATTTTATTGATTTGCTCGTTAATTCTTGCTTATAGGCCCTACTTTTTGTATTTCCAGGGTGTTACTTACCTCTATGCGCCCCGGGCGCATGGAGGTAAGTAACACCCTTTTCAGCATTCGGCAATCCGTTCGACAACAGTTCGGTTTTTCAAATGTAACACCCGTGGTTGCATGGATGTGCGCTTTATTGGGTGTTACTTACTGTCAATATTAGATGAGCCTATTTACTATTACCATCTTGTACCTAAATAATTATTTTAGGGCATTGAAATTTTAAAACATGAGTATATACGTGCAAAATATATTGATATAAATTATACTGTGCGTTTGTAATTTAGCAGATAAAACAATAAAAGAGTGACAATTTTTTAAAAAACCTCAGACACTAATATCAACTACATATTTGTATAGTTGTGGAACATCAAAAAATCCAAAAAGAAGGCCACGTTTCACATTTTTAAATAACACACTGTATACGACCCATTTTAATTTTTTTTATTTTTTTTTTTGTAAAAATAACAAGGAATTTAATAATATATAGGGTGGGCTCAAAAAAACCGAAATTTTGTTTTTGAGCTGTAATTTTTTTGTTGTTGACTAGTTTTTGAGATACAGGCTGCTTTCTTTTATAGGGTATGTTAGTGCAATTTGTCACATTACATGTTTTGTTTTAAAGAAGTTGTATGAATTTAAACATCTTCTTCCTACTAATACCAAAATCATGTTAATAGAGTCGCTAGTCTTGATACACTGCTATTATGCAGATTGTGTTGATGGACCCTTTCTAATAGATCATAACAGATATACACTACAAAAGATTCAGAACAATCGTACGATATATATTGAACATAAATAGGCGAGAACATGTTACTCTTTACATTACTAACAGTATTCTCAAGATGAAGGAAAGAAGATTTTTACATTTTGCTGTTTTGATACAAAATATTATTTAGAACAATTGCCCAGAATATCTCTCCAAACCATTGTTGAGGCTTGGTGACATTCATACCAGGTCAACAAAGAACATAGATACTTTCGAAAAGCCATCGTACTGAATTTTTTCAATCTTCGTTCTTTTACTTGGGCCTATACATGTGTATATGATACCAAAAGGAAATACGAAAAGTAGGGCCTATAAGCAAGAATTAACGAGCGAATTAATAAAATACAGAAAGTTTGAAACATAAAAAAACTAATAATATTATATCTATACTATGTATCTAATAAGGGCATTACTATTCAACATTATGTGAATGCAAATCTGTCCGGGGTGAGTAACACCCGATAAAGAAACTCTCCGTTGCGAATGTTGCGATATCGGGTGTTACATTTAAATTTGCGAACGTGAGCCAAATGGGTGTTACTTACCTCCATGCTCCCCGGGCCATGACCCCCATGGCCCTATGGTGAATACGCCACTGAGGGGAAATGTGACGCGGACCCCCGTACTCCGTACTATTCGATAAGCTTCGTAGCTTTTGAATCGACGACAAGGTCCCTTACTATTACGAATCTGTAAGGACTGTAAGTAGGTGATCTGTGAGCAAAGGTGGGCACAGTTAATCGAAAAGTTAACTTCGTTAATCGTTGATTTGCTACTTGAAAAGTTAACTTCGATAATCGTTAATCGTTAAATTTTTGAGAATATAACGCAAGTTAAAGTTATCCGTTAATAAGAGTTAATCATCGAAAAGTTCATGCTGATGATGATTATCATACTGATGTTTGAAGCTAATTATAAGTAATAGATAATTGAAATAGATTAGGCTGGGCTAGGGCATAGTATTTTTAATACCTATTTGGAAGTACCAGTCGTTTTAGTGATTTGTGATTGGTTGGTATTTTTTAGTTTCATCTGATTCAAGATTGATGAATAAGGATGGTGCTATTCCAAATGGGTATTAAAAATACTATACCTACACTCCTACACAGGTGAATGTGAATAAAACAAAAAGTATCTATACCATTTCCAAATCCAAACGGTAGTAAATGACATTAACAACAAACACCGGCCTTCCTATTGGTTTAAACGCCCTACCTGGACCAGTGCGCATGTACGAGGACATTTGATAGGTTATACTGAAAATGACCAATGACGAGTTATGTCATTACTGCCGCTTGGATTTGGTTCGACCATAGATCTAAAAAGCGGCACTATTTCCAATTTAGGTAGCTGATTTATTTACCATTCACCTCTGCAAGAAAAACGAGCTTATAAAACAATGCAGATAACGCCACAGCCCAACGATACGCCTCAGCTCACAGCCTACCTAACATCAGAACTAAGGGCTTGCGCATCGATCTCACTGTACGGAATCGGGTTTGGAGTCACTCTAGAACAGTTCCAAACTGCGTAGTGTAGCGAACTGAAATCTTTCTATGCTTGTGCGAACTGTCCCGATTGACCTTGATGCGCAATACGAGCAAACAAAATGACGTCATTTACGAACGTAACGGACTAAAGTTAACGGAAGTCCAATGTAACGGAAGTTAAGAAAACCGTTAATATTTTTTATGTTAACTTAAAAGTTAAATTTAAGCAATTTTTTTAACTTCGTTAATTAACGGATAACGGATTAACGGTTTTATGCCCAGCTTTGTCTGTGAGCCTCGGGTCGTATTTTCGAATTTATCCGAGTACCTACACTTCGTACATGAAATTTGACTGACAGCAACGTGAATTAAATAAAAATAAAAAAATCGTATCAAATCTCGTATGCGAGAATATTCGAAAATACGACCCCTGAACCACATGTACATATGGTGCAGTGTCGTTGGTGGCTATGGTACGTTCCGTTCCGTTCCGTTTTTCTCTTTCGATATACAATCACCTTTTCTATTTTATCAAAAGCAAAGTCGGCCCGCGATCATAGTTCAACTAATATCAGAAATTCAAATATTTTCATCAAGGAAAATAATTGAAAGTTGAGAGATTTTCAGGGGGGGTCAAGTGACCCCCCTCTGACCCTCCTTGTGGGCGCCCATGCCCCCAAGGCCTTGCCAGATTTGTGGAATGATCGCGCGCTAAATTCGATTCGATTATACAGGTTATTAGTGTCACATATGTTATATTTCTTTCATCCACCCCTACGAAAATACATTTTTTTATCTTGCATAGGCGAGCGAAAGCGCAATTGAAACATGCTAGTCTAATAGTCACTTTTACTTTCGCATGTCTATTCAAGATAAAAAATAGCTATTTATACAATAAGTTACGAAATGAGCGTCTTTTAGGCACGCGACGTGAAAATTGTCCAACGAGGCAAAGCCGAGTTGGACAACACGTCGAGTGACTAAAAGACATCGTTTCGTAACGTATTGTATACAAGATTTTTTCTACTGGCATTTTATAATAAAAAAACACAATTTTATTTCATGTGAATAAGTCGATTACACCCAAAATCTTTGTTACCTGCTTTTACTTGACACCTGACACTTTTCATGCGATTTTCTTTTCAAAATTCGACATCAATAATTAAAATCCTAGAAAGTAGGTAATGACACAAACTTCTGTTTTGAGTAACCCAAACGTTCAATTCAGTAATTCCATTTTCAATATTCATAATAAATACAAAACAAAATTCAAATATGTGTTTAGTGTGTTTTTTATTTCTGAATAATGAATGACACTTTTAGGCACTAGTGCTTAAAAATTACTTTTACGCACTCATAAGTCACTTTTACGCATTCAAAAGTCACTTTTACGCACTGAGTGCCTAAAAGTAACTTTCACGCACTCAGTGCCTAAAAGAATGTCGTTTCAAAACTGAAATGACAATCGAAAAGTTGCTATTATGAAACGTCAGTAGAAAATAGTTATTTTTGTATCCAGTGCGTGAAATGCTTGGAATGTAGATAACTATTGACGAATTCAATAATTTTAATGAAAATGCAAAAAGTTCCTACGTACCTACTAAAATCTGGTTAAGGAAAAATATATAACTATATTTAATCAAACATAATAATCAATATTTAAATGACGAATAGAAAATATAATTTAAATTAATCATCTTCTTTATCAATTTCTCCTTCGTCATCGATGGCGATGACGAAGGAGAAATTGATATTATGATGATAGTGATGGCACTATCATCATAATATTCATCATCAGCCTCATCTTTGTCATATCTATCGTCAATTTCATCAATGCCATTCTCAAACTCCACAGCATCAGAATCAGGGTTGCTATAATCTTCACCTGCATACATATAAATAAAAATACATTTAGAAATTTTACTCCAAAGTGTCGTTGATGCTATGTTTTGATTAAATAAATATTTACCTTCATCTGATTGAATAACGACTTCGTTGACAAACGTAGGAAGCTGATCTCCTTCAAACCATCGGAACTCATATAATCCATCCACCTCTTCCCAGCCACTATCATTAGGCGATAGAATCGTTGGATACTTTGAATGAGCATTTCTCCAAATGGTTGAAATGTACGAAGCCCTTAAAATCTGCTGGTGCAATTCAGATTGACAAGGTGGTACAGCAGAACCGTCGAAATTTTTGACCATTGGTTTGAAGAAATTACCTGAAATATTATCTGCGTACATTCTCGTGAACATGGCGACTCTTGCTTCATTAACGTTCCTAACTTTTTTCATACTGTACATATGACAAATGAATACTTCTAAAATTTCAAACACTTGTTGGGTGTCGGATTGTTCTAGTTTTGCCAAGTTTATGATGGATTTTTGGTAATCTTCGCAGCCTTTCAATATTGACAATGGCCGTTTTTTGCCTTTTCTGAAAAACGCCGGGTTAAAATAACACCCAGTTAAGGCATGAAAACCTGGCAGTGAACTGGATAATGTTTTGCCGAGGGATTCGTACATTTTTGTAACATTGATGTACCGTTGAGCATTACCCACCCCAACTTCCAACCAGACCTTAATTGATCCATCGATAATCACAGCATCTATTCGTTCTGGTTTTTCACTTTCGATTTTCTGCTCTAAACATTTCATCAGAATGGATTTATTGGTCTTACAAATATTGCCATCAATGTGACATAGTGATAGCGGTACTGGTGTCAACGGGTAAGTAAAAACCTTCTCGATGTTAATTTGCTGCTCAAAGGACAACCCCAATAATCTACCGAATAGGTCTCTTTGCTTGCGTACTTCTTGCACTTTCCCAGCAACTGTCACTTTTTTCTTCTTCATTGAATCAGTAAATGTATACATTTTATTTCGTTTTATTGCTAGCTCGAAGCGACTCTTATCGACAGCACACTCGGCGATGAAAGACTGACGGAGTGTGGACCCAATCGATTCAACGTTAAGTAAGCAATCACGAATCGACTCTGCTACTGCTTCTCCGCTTGAAATGTTGTACAATAGTTCACTTTCCAAATCGGTTGTAAAAGGGTTGAGATTTTTTTCTATGCCATTAATAAATTGTTGCAGCTGAAGAGTACTTTTTTTGATCCGATTTGGCTCCAAGTCTGCCATTATATCGTGGTTGTTGTTCAATCCGGTTTTTTGCAAGATATATGAGATTATTGTTGAACGTATACTATGGCTTTTACACCATCTTTGACGGGCTGAGATCGAGTTCGTATTGTTGATGATTCCAGTCAATTTGTAAGCTGCGTCAGCATTAATTGTTTGCTCTAAATTCAAATCAATTGGCTGTCTTGAAAATGGTTTCGGGGTTCTCTTGACACCAAACGATCCTTTATGCAATTCAATCTTTAATCCAGGATGAGTTTCATCGATTTTCAGAAAATTATTATGGTATTTCACTAACCACCAAGCATAATTGGGTCGGTTGAAGGCAAAAAAAATATTCGAAATCTTCGGCAATACGTATTTGAATAATTCCAAGTTAGCTGTCCGAATACTATTGTTTAAAAGCAAATAATAATTGATGAGATTATTATAGATTAAGTAATATCGAGCTGTGATTCCATGCTCACCAGACATTGTTTTTTCAGTTTACTCTTCATATTTTGTAAATAATTCATCAAGCTCATCGTTGGTGATAATAGGGCATAACGATCTTAATTTCTTTTAAGTCTCGTAGATAATCCTGAGCTTGTGAACTGAGTTCCAATTTATTCACTTCAATAAATTGTTCAAAATGTAACATCCGAAGCGTTAATGCCACCATAGGATGCAATCTCTTACATCTATTGAAATGTTTTCCAGTGATAAATACATTCACTGAGCCACTTGCTAACAATCCACTATCCACCATAATATTAGATAAGCCACTATTGTCGATGAATTTTCCAACAGCTTTGAAATATGCCATCATAATATGGAATGAACCTAGATGTATAAATATATTGTCAAATTGCGGCCGTTCTTTTGCTTGGATTCGTAGAGCTTTAGCTATTGCTAAATTGTACGTCACTTGCATGTAGGTTTCATTACATTCTTCACCCATTTTTTGGCTTAGGACCATTGTTTTGTGTATGACCGATTTTTCCGTTGGCGACAAATTTATTGTCGTTAAGTATGATACTTTCTGCTGTGGCGAATTATCTTGATATATGAAACTATTGAAACCTACCCACATGGGTGTGTTTGAAATTTTTAAAGCATGAGATACCATCCAAGTTAAATAAATTCGTTGTACCGAATCCATGCAGTCAGGTACTGAGTGCCGAGACTCTACATTTACAGGTAGCAATGTTTCAATCATCTTTGGTCGTTTATTGTATGGTTCCAACTCTTCCGTTATTGCATCAAATGTTCGCCTTTTTTTTTCGTCTTTTTATTTGATGTACCTGGTTCATCCTCGCAAGGATCGACAATATTGCTGAATGCTATAGTTGGCACAGAATTTGTAGTATCAATATTGATATTTCGGAAAATAATACCAACTGTATCATGAAGAGTCTCTTTTCCCGTAAGCGTATCGACAAACCTGTCGAAATTATCAAATGCTACACCTGTTTGTAAATTTTGAGCCCTGGTGATATCTGCTGGACATATCTGAATTCTACTTGTTGAAGCAAAAGTCGCTTCAGTCTCTAACTCTTCAAGCACTGTGTAGCTGCAGCAGTTACCAAATTTATTCACCAGGTCGACAACCTTTTTACTACTTGTCAAGCTCTTCAGTGCCATTCCAAGAGTAATATATTTCGATGGTTTGATTGTACCATTTGAAACAGCATAAATCGAATCATCAGCCAGCGACTCAACAATACTTTTGCACTTCGTGCTTTCTCTGCGGCGACGACTAGAGCCACTTAACAATGTTTCATAAAAAATTCGCACTGCTTTCGGAGTTGTAGTTTTAGTAGGAGAGCCGGCAATATTAACGGGTATGTGATCGTCGCAAATGGATAATTTTCACATAAAAGAATAGCTCATAGTTACCTTTAAACTAAATGGATGGGTGGCCTCGATTCTCATGGCCGCGACCCTTTGATGGCTGGGCGTAAACTACCCCTCTTTTTCCGAAGGAACAATGTTATCGTTGCAATAGCTGAAAATTGGTAGATATATTCTTTAATATATCTTCTCAAATAATATATAGGGTGGCCTCGCTTTTGATAGCCGAAAATGATGGCAACCCTCATTGAAAGTCGAGGGCACGCGTTATTTTGCTTGCTAAATACAAATTTTCGAAAGTGACAGCCTCCAAAGTCACTTTCAAAGTTAAAAGAGGACTCTGTGAAGAGGATTTTGCATAAAGTTGTAGGTCTTTAGACAAAAAAAGAAACATGAAATTTTGTTAATAAAGTGTTTGCCGCATATGATGAGAACCCCCTTATTTGTTGCGCTTATGGTTCTTGAAATATCTTTTTATAACACAACTTTACGGCCATGAGAATCAAGGCAACCCATTCATTTGGTTTAAAGGCTACTATGAACTATTGTTTTATGTGGAAATTATCCATTGCAACGATCACATACCCGTTAGTATTGCCGGCTCTTGGACTATTTCTCCCTTTATTAGATCATCCGCTGTCATTTCATCCGGAATTTTATTTGGCTCGATGTTTAAAATTTGCTTCCTTAAAATGAGTGCTGCCCTTTCAACGATGTCAATATTTCCAAGATTTGTGAAATCTTGCTCTTCTAAAATACGTCCTTTGAAAGACTTGACAATTTTTTTTTATGAATTGTGATGATTTTGATATCATTTTTAAAAGTTTGCTATTGCGAGAGTAGGCGAATCTAGATCACTATATTTCAAATCATGCTGTTTTCGAATAACTAAGATTTCAGCACATTTCGACAAAGTCAATTGGGGAAATTTCTTGATTGGCTTGGCCGATTTATTACAAAAAACACATAAAACCGATGTTGGCGTCAATATTTTTCTAACTACATATAGACCGGTGCATAACGACCATTTTTTTAAAACGATTTTCTCCCGTCTGCCATTAAGCATGGTTCTTCTTTATGCAATAAGAAGTGGAATGGCTGAAATTTCAAAGAGCCCCGCGTGTGACAATACAATGATATGCTAATTTGAAAATGTAATGAAAAGTGGAGATTTGGATCAATATTATCCCGTCTGCCACACATTGTGAAGGTAATTTAAACAAAAATGAGAACAAGAAAGCTAAACGGCGGAAACCCTAGGTTAGTATAAAGTGTCATATTACTAATTTCAAAATGTCGCCAAAATCGGACATCTGGATCAACGACCTCCCGTCTGCCAAATTAAATTTATGTTGCATTTAAGATTTAGAGATCAATGAGGAAATGGCAGAAAATCTCGGTTGTTATAATAATATTTAACAATTTTTGAAGTTGTATCAAAATGCTGAGATGTTGAAACAATTTTCTCCCATCTGCCATTTGGAAGATGAGTTCGACATGCAAAGTAAAATCCAGGAAATATATTAGCAGATGTATCCAAGGTATATTAAGAAATGGCAGAAACAATAATAATGTCAAAAAATTTCAAAGTTGAGATCAATTTTTTCCCGTCTGCCAGTAATTTATGTTAAATTAGCTACTACTAAAAGCTTAAATTTCGACTGGCAGAAATTGCAGGCTGATACAAGTTCTTATAATTATTGATTAACAAAATTGGAACAAAAATTGTTCATATCATTAACGTTTTTAACCCGTCCGCCGTTTGTTTCAATAAAGTGTAGTTATGAGAATATGCAGAAACCGCAATGAGCTACATACGTTGCACAATTATTGTTAAATTGCGAAAAATGTTTTTGTGGCCAAACAGTTTTCTCCCGTCTGACAACCAGTTAATTAAAATTAAAGTTGCTCTCAAGACACCTAAATATGATAAGGCAGAATAATAAAAAATTGTATCTTTAGGAAAAAAATGTTTCAATCATCAACTTTATCAAAAACAGCATCTGCATAATTATCATCAGCATCATCATTATCGTTTTCATTGTCATCTATCCCTTCGGAGTCACTTCCATCACAACTGATGTCACGTTTTCCATTATCATCATCATTATTGCCGTCATCCAAATATGATAAATCGCCAAAATCTTCGTTTTCATTAATTTCTTCTTCACTTTCATCCTCATCAGGAAAACCTATATGTGTGATAGGCATTGAAAAAAAAAAAACTTGTATGTGAGATTTCAAACATTTGTACAGGGTCTGTTGTTGCCAGGTTTAAAAATTGAATTCGCAGGACATGTGTTAAGAAAATGCAGGACAGTAATGAAAAAATCATGACTTTTTTTTTATTTTCCTAAAACAATATTTATAATACCCAAAAATACGTTAAATAATACCTAATAAGGTTCAAATTAAATACGATCTCGGTAGGTAATACTTACTTATTTTTTTTTTTTATAGTTTCACATGTTTTCACAATAATTTATATTAAATTTATCAAAAATATTGTATATTGAAAACATTACATGACAAAACAAAAATAAACGAAAGCATATTAAAACTTGTTTAAAATAACAAAAATAGTGTAACAGTCATATAAGTAAGCTACAAAAATAAAAAATAACTAATAAACGTAACGTGAATTCAATTTACAAATTCATCTAAAAAAAAGAAAATCTGTTTTAATGGCCAAATTATAGACCAACTGGTAAATGTCTGGTTGTTACCTAGCAGGTACTTTCTATTATCTAAAGCATAGAAAGTACCTGCTAGGTAACAACCAGACGTTTACCAGTCAGTCCATAATTTGGCCCTTAGAAAAAGTATACTTCTTGTCACTTTTTGCCGCCAACAGGAATTTTCTATTTTTCAAAATGTATCTGAAAAATTCCCTACAAGTGTAATAGCGATTTCTATTTGTAGAATCAGTGCAAAAAAAATGTATCGTTATCCTTCTTTTTCACATGCTTTTAGAAAAAGATGCGGATAAACTCAGTGCGCACTTATTGACAAATGAAAATCGCCATAAGTTAAATTGGTTTCTATTCGAAGTTCTGCTTTTACATGGTCTACTGAGAGCCTATTCCGACTATCAGTCCACGCCGCATTGTATAAAGAAAACACCCTTTTTGAGACGGAATTCGACCCGTACATGAAAACAACAAATT